TCAGATGTTCTGTTGTTCTATCAGATGTTCTGTTGTTCTGTCAGATGTTCTGTAGTTCTGTCAGATGTTCTGTTGTTCTATCAGATGTTCTGTTGTTCTGTCAGACGTTCTGTAGTTCTGTCAGACGTTCTGTAGTTCTGTCAGATGTTCTGTTGTTCTGTCAGACGTTCTGTAGTTCTGTCAGATGTTCTGTTGTTCTGTCAGATGTTCTGTAGTTCTGTCAGATGTTCTGTTGTTCTATCAGATGTTCTGTTGTTCTGTCAGACGTTCTGTCAGATGTTCTGTAGTTCTGTCAGATGTTCTGTTGTTCTATCAGATGTTCTGTTGTTCTGTCAGACGTTCTGTCAGACGTTCTGTAGTTCTGTCAGACGTTCTGTAGTTCTGTCAGACGTTCTGTAGTTCTGTCAGATGTTCTGTTGTTCTGTCAGATGTTCTGTTGTTCTGTCAGACGTTCTGTCAGATGTTCTGTTGTTCTGTCAGACGTTCTGTAGTTCTGTCAGACGTTCTGTTTGATTTTAAATGAGGTTCACTTTCATCGTGCAGATTTAAACCATAAATGTTCAAACTGATGAGGAACCATGTGGTGGAACCTGGAGAACGTTCATACACGAGTACCCTGCTCTTTCTAGAACCTGGAAATTCTCTAAAGGTCGTGTCGTGTGTCCTTAGAGTTGGACGGTTCTGGATGTACTGACCAGACATAAAACCCCCAGAAGACAACGGGGGACGCTGTGGGACATCCAGGCGCGACACTTGTGGGACGGCAGGCTGCAGGGCAGCGAGTCCAGGCTGGGGGGGCGGTAAAGACCCACAACGTTGAGCACGTTCAGAGAATCTGAGGACGGAGTCCGGTCAGGAAGCTCCATGATGGTGATGACCAGACAGTCCGAGGAGCGGTGGTCCACGCCTTCTCCTCCCCCTGCAGACACACGACACCAGAACCTATCAGAACCTCAGAATCAGAACCATGCAGACCAAGCAACTGGTTTTACCATTCAGACTGGTGGGGGTCAGGATCACCTCAGAACATCCTGGACCTGCCGGACCTCCTTCCTGCTGGAATCCATTCTGACAGGACAGAACTGCCAGGATGTGCCGGTCATCCTCCATTAACCAGACCTGAAGACAGACAGGTGGGAGACAGACAGGTCGGAGACTAGCAGGAGACAGGCAGATGGGTGAGAGACAGACAGGCTGTTTGACCTAAAACTCTTTAAATCTGACAGGAGGAAAAAATGAAGTCACCTCGGGAGAAACCTGTCTTACATCCGCTATCTGTCTTGCCTCCCTTTTCTGTAACCTACTGAGTAATCTGTCTCACTTCCTCTGCTTAGTCTCTCTTTTTAAGTAACTTGTCTGACCTTCTCAGTAACCTGTCTCACCTCCTCCTCAGTGACCGGTCTCCCCTCCTCCTCTGTAACCTGTCTCACTTCCTCATCAGTAACTTGTCTCACCTCCTCCTCAGTAACTTTTCTCACCTCTTCCTCAGTAACCTGTCTCACCTGGTCCTCAGTAACGTGTCTCACCCCCTCCTCAGTAACTTGTCTCACCTCCTCCTCACTAACCTCTTCACTTCCTCCTCAGTAACCTGTTTCACCTGTTCCTGAGTAACCTGTCTCACCTCCTCTTCAGGAACCTGTCTCACCTCCCCAGTAACCCATCTCACCTCCTCCTTAGTAACCTGTCTCACCTGTTCCTGAGTAACCTGTATCACCTCCTCCTCAGAAACTTGTCGCACCTCCTCAGTAACCATCTCACCTCCTTCAAGTAGCTTATCTCACCTTTTCGTCGGTAACCTGTCTCACCTCCTAAGTAACCCATCTCACCTCCTCCTCAGT